AACTTTGTCTTAAAACAAACCAACCAACCCCCCACCCACCACCACCAAATAAAAAACCCCAAAAATACTGTATGGCAAATTTTTCTGGTAGGAAATGTGTAAGTCTTTATTTTGTATATCCTGTGTTCTAGGCACCATGCTACATGTTTTCATTTTCACATATATCATCTCATACAATTCTCCCAACAACCCTGTAAGGTATGTAGGTGTTCATCCCTCTTTTGCAGATTGCCCCGGATCCCTAAGCAAGTAGGGGGTAGAGCTGAAATTTGAAGCCAGGCTTTGCTTCAAACCCCATGTCCTTTTTAACCACAATGTCTGCCACTGCAGATATAAAATAGGCTACTATTTTGAAGTAAACACTGACCTCGTTGAATAGGTAATATATCTACATGACTCAAAACCTCAAAAGTATAAAAAGTTACAAAGTAAAATGTTTTCCCCCAACCCCTGCTCCTATACCCACCTCCAACTTAGTCCTGTCCCAAAGAACTACTTTTAGTAGTTTCTTTATGCATTTAAAGCAAATGTTGGTATAGCTTCTTATTTTTCCTTCCTTTTGAATACATAGAATAGCATATTATGCTCACTCTTCCCTCCATTGCTTTTTTGGTAAACATAACAGTGTATTTAGATGTCGTTCCATATCACTACATAGCAAGCATGTAATTCATTTAAATGAAATAACATTTATAAAATACATAGCACAGTGACTGGCACATAATAGGTGTTTATGCAGAGTCCAAGAGCTGGAAGGGGGGGAAGCTGAGATTTGAACTCAGGCCCATTGTCTCTGCTTTCTATAGCTATTCATCTATCTCTTTTTAGGATGTATACAGAAAATAAAGTGCTGACAACAGGTTTGAAAGGGCCTTCTCCGTTATCTTCTATTTTCTTCAGATAACCCTGGCAGTGGAGGTCAGGATAAGGGACTGACAGAAAGTGCAAGATGAGTGAAAATGATAGCAAATGACATGCCAATTTATTCTAAAATAATGATCTGGTTGTTCTTTTTTTTTTTCTGGTTCGCTCTTCTTTTCTAGAACAATGAGTTATATTTTTGATGAAAGAGATGGATTAAGCATAACTTCAGAGGCAGACAGATCTGAGTTTGAATTCTCTGTGACTCTCTGAATCTAAAACTTCCCTGAGCTTAGTTTCCCGGTCGGTAAAATGGGGGATAATAAACTGTTCCATAGGGCTATTGTGAGAACCAAATGAAATTTCATGTGTAAAATATTCAACCCTGTGAATGATTTTCCCTAAGTCAGTATCTGGGTTTGAGCCAGTGTCCCATCTTTCGTAAAGCAGCAAAACGCTGTGGTTCCCAGCATTAGTTTTGAGCATGTGACTGAGACACACAACTGCCATCTGGAAACACCATTTCCAAATTACAGAAAGTTCTTCAGCACTACAGTTGCAGAGTTATTGATGATAAGGTCACAAAGACTTTACATGGGAGGCTGAGGCCTCATGTTGTACTTTTTCTGGCCATTCCCTCTCCCTCATCATTGCTAACTTCACTCAATTCATTTTATGCCATGAGACTAAGTCCTAAAAAGAGCTATGAGACAGTAGACCTCCAAACCAAAGGCCCCTATGCAGCTTATATTTCTCTAAAGGGCTTTATGCTCATTTAAGAAGGACCAATGAAGAAGCTTCATGTTAATATTAGGGCTGCCAGACTCTGTGAAAGTACCTTCTGCATCTGTTGCTTTTTACTAACCACCTCTCCAGTATACAATGTCTTCTAATCTGGCTTCTGCCCCCAGGATACTAGTGGTCATGATCTACTTTTTGCCATGGCGTGAGAGTAACACACATGACTCCTTAAACACAGTTAAATACAGTTGAAAATGGTTAAACAGAAATATGGTAAATACAGTTAAAAACAGTTAGCTATAGAAATATAGTTAAATACAGTTAAAACAGTTAAATACAGAAATACAGTTAGATACAGGTAAAAACAGTTAAATACAGAAATATAGTTAAATACAGTTAAACACAGAACTATTTTGTTGAGGCTAATAAAAAGTAAACCAAACAGGCAGTACATAATGAAAGCCAAATGAGTGTGTCTAGACAGCAAACATTTATTTCAGAAGAGGTGCCTAGTAAGTACTCAATAAATATTCAATGAAAGAATAAATGGGTGAGGGCAAGCTCAGCGTGGCCTAAAGCAGTTGGGAACATAGTACTGAACACAGCCTGACAGAAGCACAGATTTCATGTGGGGAGAACTGGTAGGAGGTTGTCAGTCTGTGAAGCTAGACTGAGACCAGACTGTGATTTAAAATGGTCATTTTGGGCCACTAGGTTTGGCGGAGGGAGAAATATGAGTCAGATAATCCAGTTAGAGGCAACTGTATTATCCATGTGTGAGGTCAAAGTTTTAATCCCATGGATTAATAAAGAAATGACAGGTCTTGGTGACTGACTAGCAGGAAGTGATGAGGAAAAGGTGACAGGGCCGATTAGAGGTGACCTTGAAGTATTTTGAAGTCCAAGTAACTAAGAGAATGATGCTGGTATTATCAGAAGTAGGAAGGTCAGTGGGTAGAAAGGAAATTCTTTTGTTTTGCAGGAGAGATGAAATACTTTTGTTTTAGACATCTCCAAATGGAAGTGTGTAGCAGTAGTTGGAGATGTACCCCACCAGCTCAGGAGACAGGTCTGTACTCCACAGCTGGTGGAGTACATTTTTTTGACCCAAGTTCAGATCCCAGATCCCAGCGTCATTCTCTCTATTGTTACCACCAGAGAGTCCATCTCCTTTCCCAGTTTCAGCTCTAACCAGAACTGTAAGATGCCAGAGCCTAAGGAAGGGGGATTAAGAAGAAAGGAAGGTGCTCACTGCTGCTAGAAACTGAGAGACAAACTCAAGGTCATGGGAATTGGTTCTCTCATGGGAGAGAACTGTTTTCTTCAAGAGATGTCATTTCAGGTTGTAGATATGTGAGTGGGAGAGAAACAGATTGTAGAGAGTTTAGGAGTTAGTGGGTACTGAGACAGAGAGGTAGTGAGTATGCACAGACCTCAGTGAGAAGAACATAAGTAGAAGGTAGCTACAAAGGAGCTTCGAGGAGCCCAAAGCTCTGATAACGTCTCAATTGAAACTGTTCCTCTCAGAGGTCACCAGTTACCTCCTTCTTGCCAAATAAAATCTTTCCTCTGTCCTCAATTTCATCTCTTTGCAATATTTGACACAATTGATCTCTTACCCCTTCCTTAACTTAATACTCTCTTCTCCTGTGACTTCTACAATATGATAGGCACTGTCCAGATATCCTTGTACATGACTGACCGCGAATTCCCTTTTATTCCCTTGCTGGTTCCTCTTCTCCTACTCGTGTCTACAGATGTCTTCTAAAGCTCTTACCCTGGCCTTCTGCTCCCTCAGACAACCCATCTGTCTAAGCTGATAACTCACACAGCTTCATCTCCACTTCCAACTGCCTGTAGAGCATCTTTACCAACCAGTTTTCTTTTCTAACATTGTCTTTCTGAGAGGACTCTTACAATTCTTCCAGGTGTACAGTCTGAGTGCTTTCAGACATGTTTGTTTCTTAGCTCTTGGTACATCAAGTCTATACCAAGTGTTGTCATCTCTTTCTTTGAAACATCTATGGGGTTCACCTGTACCCTACATTTCTTTGCTACCACCGTCAGTCACCTCTAGCCAACATTACCATAACTGGTTCCTGGAGAGTCTCCCTGACTCAGGTTTACCACTGAACCCCTACTTCTGCATAGAATAATCAGGTTAATGTTCTAAAATGACAATTTACTGTGTCATGCCCCTGTGCAAAAACATGTGATAGGCTCCCTATAGCTCCTAGTACAACAGCTAAACTTCTGCATGGCTTGCAAAGCAAAGAAACAGAGAATCAGAAATAGAAGGGATATTAGATATCACCTGGCCTAACTTCCCTTTTAATGCAGGAATCAGTCACTATTCAGCATTCATCACAGATAGTTTTCCTGTTTCTCATTAGAAGTGTCCCTAGATCATGGAGTCTTCCCTAATTTGGCTTCACTCTTTATATTTAACCCGTTTTTTTGTTTTGTTTTGTTTTGTTTTCATTTTTTTTTTTTTTGAGACAGAGCCTTGCCCTGTTACCCAAGTTGCAGTGGTGCCATCTTGGCTCACTGTAACCTCCACCTCCAGGGTTCAAGCGTTTCTCCTGCCTCAGCCACCTGAGTAGTTGGGATTATAGGAACGCACCAGTATGCCCGGCTAATTTTTTGTATTTTTAGTAGAGATGGGGTTTCACCATGTTGGCCAGGCTGGTCTCAAACTCCTGGCCTCAGGTGATCTGCCTGCCTTGGCCTCCCAAAGTGCTGTGTTTAAAGGCATGAGCCACTGCAACTGGCCTATATTTAGTTTTCTTTTATACTACTCCCTCCACATTTTATCTCCTGCAATCAGGCTGGTTTCTTCCTAGCTCCCTCCTCTACCAGGTTTGTTCTTACTTTCATATTTTTAGCCATCTGCTTTGCTGAATGCTCTCCCCTCCCCTTTCCAATTCTCAAAATCCCATCCATAAGCATAGTCTAAATGTTATCTTTCATGACCCTTTTCCTGACATCTTTTTCTTAAACCCTATTGCATTTACTGTCATGACATAGCTTCACACTTGCTTGTCCTACGTGTACTAATTTTATAACCCCCGCATCACCCCCAACAGAACGTAAGCTACTTGATGGGGACAAAATCCTATCTGGGACCTTATGTCACCCACAGGCTTACCTTGCACAGGATTAGGCATAGAGTAACTAGTCAATACTTAATGATTAATAATGCATGGGCAACCTTTGGGCTGGAGAGGTGAGGTCACACAGTAAGTCAGTAACCAAGTTCATGATTAGAAATCACACCCGATTCCCTGTGCTGCAGTTTTGGCACATATGAGCCAAGCCTGATGGGGATGCTTCAGGGAAGGGCCTAGGTCTGAGGCCAGAAAAGAACTTATCTGGGCTTGAGAAGCAGGGTACATTACCTCGGTAGTCTAGGGCAGGGGCCCGTGGGACCTCTTCTGCATATACTTCGTTGTAGCTTTCATCTGGATAGTAGCCAGAACCTAGAATAAGGAAGACAATATCAAGATGGTGTCTTGATTTCTCACTCGAGTCCTTCCCAAGTTTCCCCTCTCATCCAACTCTGTCACTTCCTTAGGACATGGCACTCCGTGGGTGGGGAGCCAGGTGGATATTTAGTGGGACAAACCCTGCATTGTTATGCAGCAGAACTATTGCGGGTGAATCTCAGCACCTCAGTTACATAGGGGGCAGGCTCATGGTTGTGGGGGCCAGTTACTGGGAGCACTAATGGACTCCACCTAAAAGAAAAAAATTGAACCTGACCATACATCAATCCTGTCCATCTGGACTATAAATGAGCCAATTCCTTGAAGCAACACATGAGTCTTGGTAAGACATTAGGGACTAAGCTGTGAGAATGGACTGTGGTCCCAGATAGGAGGAAAAAATCAGAACCTGTCTCTTTCCTCTAGTGACAGGCCTGCTCACAGCTCTCAAAGAGAAACAATTACTCAGGGCTCCACTAGCCCACAGGGCACACGTCTTTTTGCCATCAAATTACTATTGCTGGGGGTGGCATGCCAAGGCCAAGAGGAATGACTTAAAGGCAGGAGGAAATGAGAGCAGTTTTGTGAGCACGATGTCCTGGTTTGGAGAGCAGACAAGGGAGGCAGAGTCCTTTGGATAAATTTCCTGTTTCCCTAATCAGAAGAAACTTCAACAGGGAGCTGCTGAGCTAGAGAACATTCCTAATCTACCTCCATCCACTTAAGTGGCCCAGTCCATAATGAAGGCAGGTCTGCGGCTGTCTGGGAGACTAAACAGTATGTTCGGCCAGACGGCAGGAAATGGGTCATGAATACAAACTAATTAGAAAACAACCTGGTCCTTTCCGGAGGGAAGTTTCCGGAAGCCCTCCTTCCAGCCTCCCTGAGACCTCATGCACGCACAAGAATAGGGTAGCCAGCTGTATTGGAGTCAAGAGACAATTCCCCATTTCCAGGAGAGGGTGTGCTTCCAGGACAGGGCTGGGTTTTAGTGCTGGAGCCCTTTGGCCCGTATAAACAGTCAGGCCACAAGCTCACCTGCCTCCTCTTGGGAAGAGGCACAGGGCCCCCTGCACTAAAGGGTGGAGCAAAAAGCTAGATGACGAAGCTCCTCCATTCCGCACAAGCCCAGACTGGGGGTGGGGGGGGTGAGGTATTGGTAAACCAGTCCAACTTGGTGAACAAGGGAATGAATCAATTGAAAGTTTGCCTTATGAAATCATGTCCTCGTTGGTTTGCCCTCATTCCAGAGGAAAGAGTTCATTTTTTCTTTTTCCCCTTTTACTTTTTTTTTCTGTTTTCCAGTTTCAGTTCTTCTTCTGGCTTCCAATCTAATTGATTTATTTCTCCTCAGGCCTCATCTCCCTTGCTCTCTCTTTTCCCCTAATGGAAGTTTCTTTGGTGGGCGTGGCGGGGGGGGGGTCATGGAATTCTCATCAGCTGTTTCAGTTTAGTATTAGCCTCAAAGCCTTCTAGGTCCTGTAAACAGGAGGCCAGATGTGTGTGATTCCCTAAAGTATTAGGTTTCCCTGCTCCAGTTACAGAGTCCAGCTTGTGAAGAAATGCTCAGCAGGGGGCAAAGGACTGTTTACCAGAAGAGAACACAGGAGTGTCAGAGCCCTGCGGCTAGATAACAGTAACAACAACTATGACAATGACGGCTAACATCACTCCACCCATCTTCTGTGTTAAGCACATTACATATATTAGCTCATTATGTCACCATAACATGTTGGCAGGATAGGCTTTGCTAATATTCTCAAATATAACGCCGAAAAAACAGGCTTAAGGAACCAAGGGAGTAGCATTCCAACCCAGGTCTGCTTGACCCACTAGATACCAGACACTCCACTGAAGATTGTGGTTAGGGGAGAGCTTTTGACAATGTCCAACTGGGGTAAAAGTCCAAAATCGTTTTTGCAATACAGCTTTTTTACTTTGTGTGTGGGGGCGGTGGGGGGGGTTGAAGACCACCTAGCATTTTACATCATGCCAAAATTACGGGGGATGTAGGAAAACTGTGGGGAAGGCTCAATAAGATAATTACAGCCTCCATCAGGATGTGGAAGGAGCTGGACCAGTGCCAACTATGCTTTGTTGGAGAAAGGGTTCAGACCACCTTGCCACTTGAAACCTTTCCATTTTCCCATTTCCCCTCTTTGCCTGTCTCTGAGTATTTTTTCTTTTTTGCAAATGGTGGAATACTAAGATGGGTACAAGAATGAAATTAAAGGTGAACACTCCCTAAAGTATTCTATCTGCCTTTCCCTCTTAAGCCCTGGGGGAAGGACTTGGGGACCATTCCTCAGTTCCTTTAGATCAATCAGCGCTTGGTTACCGTGTGGTGTTTTACTGGGTTCTTCCAACCTCTACAGCACAGTCAGGCCCACTAAGCACTGCCCTTCACAAAAGTATAGTTAGAAATGTCATTGATAGTTAAAAGACTATTTTAAGATTCATATTAATCCTTGGCTTACAATGACAAACACAGTCTGACTTTCTGGGCTGCACATATATGCCAACACACACTTTTAACCCGTTCTTTGCTTCATTTGTAATCTTTTTTTTTTTTTTTTTTTTTTTTTTTTTTTTTTTTTTTTTGAGACGGAATCTTACTCTGTCACCAGACTGGAGTGTAGTGGCACGATCTCGGCTCACTGCAACCTCCGCCTCCCAGGTTCAAGCAATTCGTTTGCCTCAGCTTGCTGAGTAGCTGGGACACAGGCATGTGCCACCATGCCTGGCTAATTTTTGTATGTTTAGTAGAGACAGGGTTTCACCATGTTGGCCAGGCTGGTCTCCATCTCCTGACCTTGTAATCCACCTGCCTTGGACTTCCCAAGTGCAGGAATTACAGGCCTGAGCAACCGTGCCTGGCCTCATATTCTTATTCTTTCCCAACACCTGCTGATATTCCTGGACCCTTTTTCTGATCAGTTCTGGATCCACATTTGATTGCTTTCCTGTGCCATGCCCATTTGAAGACAAGGCTGTAGAAGTGAACAAAACAGTCCTAGATGCATAAAGAGTGCTCAGTAAATATTTGTTGAAGGAAAGAATGAACAAATGCATGAAGGCAAGCCCAACAGCTGAGCTAGCAATGTAGGGGAAATGTCTCTCATTATGTGGCCTCCTAAGCATAAAAGAGGGAAGAATGAGAGGGATTGTAGGGCTGGCAGAGACCTCACCACCCTGAGCGCCTCAGGATTGGTGACTCGTGATTCACGTGGAAGTGGGGAGTTCCACTTTTGCAAATAGCCCTTTGAGAACCTCAATTGAATCTAAGTTTTAAAACACTGCTCTGTCCTCAGGACTCCAACAGCTCAGGCTTCTGTTTTGGGAAAGGTAAAGACCATTGCATGCCATGAGGTTTCATACAGGTGTTCAGAATTGGGCTTCAAGCCATCTAATCTCCACTCCTTTAGTCCTGTGGTCTCTGGCTGGATTTTGGTCTCTGTACTTGAACTAAAGCTAGTGGAGGTTGGGGAGGACAGCTGCATATTTATTTCCTGGAGACTTGGGGTGCCTTTAACCCCAAACAGGATATGCTCTGTCAAGGGCTTGACTTGAATTTTTTCGTCTCAATGTCAGCCCTTGTGCTTCACCCCCTACAAAGCCAGGTTAAGCCAAAAAGGGGAAGAAGTTTGCATATTTGTTTTAAAGCTTGATGCAGCTGTTCCAGACAAACAGAGCTACTGCCAAAGGCCTCCACCAGGAGCTAAGGGCATGTGGAAAATTTTAGCTGCAAAGACTGTGGCTCTGATGGGAGCAGTTTGTTATTTACTCATCTCTGGATATTTTCCTAACCCCATTGGTTGGGCCTGTCTCCTTCCCTCACTCCTCCCCACCGGCCCCTGTGAGGGCAGACACTGCAGGCCACAGAATATTCTTAGGCCTTGGAATGCCAGCTGGGCCCCATATAAGACCTCTGTATGCCACTTCATTATCCTGCCCTCATCCCTTCCCCCTCCCCTTTCCCTCTTCTCATTGAGTTTGTTCTCTTTGGCTCCCTGGGTGAAGAGTGAAATGTTCAGGAATCCAGAAATCCCCGTCCCTTCTGAAGTAAAGAACAAATGAGAAGAAACTGGGAAATTCCTGATTAAAAGGATGTGATCTGTTTTGCCATTAACGGCTTTGGCAGAAAAGGGCTATACAAATCTCATTTTATAAATAAGGTCAGGAAGGGAGGGAGGGAAGAAGTCTGATGGATGTTTGTTTCACTTGAATAGATTGCCTATCCCCCTAATTTTTTCCAAATGAGATATGTGGTCTAAGTCCATTTTTGTGGTCTTGACAAGGGTATTTGACCCATGAAAGAATTAATATTAATAACGATTTGACGCATGAAGGATTTCATATTAGAAAATGGTTTTCAGGAAGCTAGGTGCACAAACAGGTGTGACAATGGCCTCAGTGGTGATGTTGGCCTATTTCAGATAGCTCTTGTTAGGCTGCCTTAAAAGCCTCCCTTGGTAGTCTGTTGCAAAGTTTAACTACCTTTTTTGTCCTTTAATATTTCTCTGTATAGAAAATAATGAGTCTCTTTTTGTGGTCTAACTCTTCCTTCTCCGAGTCTTGGTCTAGGACCTACCCTTCCTGGAAATAACAGACAACAGCTCCTAGAACTTACCTGCATACCATGTTGGTGTCACTGCTGGAGTTAGGAAGAGCAACAGAGAGAGAGCTCCTCTTTGAGTTAGTTGGCTGGCCATCCTTGAAAGGGAGGATTATGGTGACAAAAAAAGATGAAGTACCAGGGCAAAGGAACGTGACTTTCAGAATTCAGCCATCAGTTAACCTCCAAAAGTGAGGGGAAGCAGAAATATGGGCTCTGTGAGGAAGAAGAGAGATTTTATAATTAATGAATGCCTTTTATATTATCTCCCTCATAAGGATCTTTCACGTCATTGAATAACAAGACTCTCTTTGTTATTGAAGGTCCCTTTTCCTCCCAGGAGGAGGAGAACATAAAGCAACCGATCTTCAATTAACCCTGGTGGGATCAGATGCAAATGCTTCATGGTCCAAGTTACAGAGAGGGACACTGAGAAAGGAAAAGGCCAACATAAAGTCAAATAGAACCAGGAGGGAACCCGGTCTAAAGTCCGCCATTAGGTTTCGTTCATTCAACCAACATTTCCTAGCCACTAATCTGGGAAAATGTTGGCACATATGGTCTAAGAATTTGAACACTGAAGTCACACAGGTCTGGATGTGAATCCAATTCTGTCACCTATTAGCTATGGGGTCTTGGACAAATTTCTTAATTTATCTGAGCCTCCATTTCCTCATCTATAGAATAGGAATAATAATACTGTCTACCTCATAGAATTGATTATTGCCTGTCATGTAGGGAAGTAATTTATGTATCAGACAATATTATTACCAACTCTGTATTGAACAGGACTGAATGTTTCCCTTCTCTAGTCTCCCAGGCAGTGACTATACTTTGACTGTGTTCTTAGCTTTGGGTTTTAAGCCTTAGTGGTTTGGTAGTTAGTGGCTTCTGGCTTTCAAGTTCAGCCTAACCCTCTAGTTTTACCCTGCTGAGCCAGCAGGAAGTCAACGAGGTAGAGGAGGAGCTACTAAGGTACATGAGGAGAGGGTTAACAAGCTCTAATTGCCCTCTCATTTCATGCCCTGTCCTCACTCTAATGGGATGAGGGTTTTGTGGTTACCAGTGGGCAAATAATTTATAAGTGACACTATTAAAACTTGCTGCCCATCGGTATAAACCGGCCACTGGCCATTTCAGCAAGCACATATTCACTCACATGCTTTCAATGAAATGCCATGCTCAGGGGCGGAGTCAGTCCTAGAAATAGAGGGAAAAAAATGGTGGTAGATTCTGGCCAGAGTCCCTAAGGGACATGCAAAGCCCAAGAAAGGGAAAAAATCATTTTCTGCTTAATTGCTACTTGGCTTCAGATTTTGTCTAGAAAGTGACAGGGAAGCCGGATGGAAAAAAAGTGAGAGTACGCGAAGGAGGCGAGGGAAGTAGAAAGATGTGGGAAGGAAGCTAGGAAGGAAAGAGATGGATCAAAGCAAACAGAGGCATCAAAAAGAGGACAAAGAGGAGACCAAAGAGAGCTCCAGGAAAATGAACAGTTAGATAACTAATCACTGACCCCCACATCTAGCCTCCATCCAGTTCCTTTGTTCTGGATCAGGGGCACTCCTTTTTCAGACCCAATACTCTGAACCTGTGACCTCTTACCTGCCCAGCTTCTCCCCAATCTCAGGCTGAATACTTGTCTCACTACAGTCAACCATCCCTCTGCTGTGGGCTGAGAAGGTGGTGGGAACATATGTTTGCAGTCACGTCACAGCACAAATGAAAAACAGCAGATGAGCCAGCTTCATAGAAGAGCTTCTCCCCTGACCTCCACCCCCCGCCATGTTGCCCAAGTCCCGGATATCCTTATCCCCTTCACAATTGTGAACTGGGGCAGTGGAGTGCGGAGGGTTTAGTTGCAGATCTTACCTGTTTTATGGTATTTTGTGCCCTTTTTCTCTCTCCTCCTCCTTTTCTTTCCTCTCTGCTCCTCTCATCAGTTGAAAAAAACCTTCTACTTTAACATTCCTAGAATGAGTGGCTCCTGGTCTGTCCCAGCCTCCGGGTTTCTGTTAACACTGCCCAGATGTTACGATGTCCGCATCTGCCAAAAGTTTCCTTAAAGCTATATTATCCCCGAAGCTATAGTTATTCTTCTTTCAGAGAAGGGTTTTAGAGAGATGGGGGATAAGGAACACACGGATTAGAGGAACTCATTCAGTCCGTCTGCTGTAGAACAGGGGGGAATGTGAATGGCATTGGCTCCAAGCCTGTGAGTGTAGTGATGACTAACACAGAGGCTGGCTTAAGCAGCCTCCAGAGATGTGTTGCACTGAAGAACACTTCTTTTTATGACTCAGCATGACATCAGGATTGAATGAAAAGGAATTTCACAAACACCAAAGAGAGGGGAAGACTGTAGCTGACTTTGACATTCCCTAAAATTTCGCCTGTAATTCCTTAGACTCCCAACTCTGACCTATCTTGCAATCTATATGGTACAGGATCAGATACACTTTCACCTCATGCCAGTGACCTAACTTCTCTGGACTTCGGTTTCTTTTAAGATTATATTATTGGCCTGGTACGGTGGCTCATGTCTGTAATCCCAGCACTTTGGGAGGCCGTGGCGGGCGGATCATGAAGTCAGGAGACCGAGACCATCCTGGCTAACATGGTGAAACCCTGTCTCTACTAAAATACAAAAAATTAGCCGGGCGTGGTGGTGTGCGCCTATGGTCCCAGCTACTCAGAAGGCTGAGGCAGGAGGATCGCTTGAACCTGAGAGGCGGAGGTTGCAGTGAGCCGAGATCGTGCCACTGCACTCAAGCCTGGGCAACAGAGACTCTGTCTCAAAAAAAAAAAAAAAAAAAAAAAAAAAAAAAGGACAAAAAAAGATGATATTGTTTACAAAAAAATCATGTGTTTCTTGCCTGGAGAACCAAGACTGAGTAATTCCCATACTAACAGTGGAGGGAAAGCATGCCTCGAGAGGCTTTAGTGGGAGGCTGTTTGAGCAAATCTAGCTGTTTCCCAGTGGTCTCTGATGGAGGGCTACATTTCACTCAGCAAGCTTTTTTTTTTTTTTTCATTTTAGATCTGATAATGAGACTATTCTGCCATAGTACAGACCAGCTACTTACAATCTCCCTCCCCTCACTGTTGACATTTCCACCTCTTGGAAAATCAGTGGTTATAGAAGGAAAAATTTTAAGCTGTTGTAAAAATTTTAAGCTGTTTCTCCTGTGTATGCAAGCAAATTGGTAACCCCTTCTCAGTCATTGGGGAAGAACGGTACTTATGAGAATACAAAGTTCAAAAGCAAGCCTGAGTCTGCTTCATTTCCAATCCACCTGTGACAAGTATGTATTGAGTATCCACCATGTGCTTAACAGTGTAATAGCTATGTAAAGAAGACATGATGGTGGCCTTATTCACTCCATAAATTTATCAAGCATCTATCATGTCAAGAGTGGTGGATGTAGTGGTGAACAAGACAGACAAAATCCCTGGCATTGTAATCCATAATTAATTCAACGAATACTTATTGAGCATTTGCTATGTGCCACACATGGTTCTACATATTTGAGAAACATCAGTGAACACACGGACAAAAATCCCTGCTCTCATGGAATGGAAGAAACAGACATGAAACAAGTATGTTCTTAATTACAATTGTGTGTGTTTAGGGAATCTTTATTGGTCATCTACTATAACCTAAGCACTTCAGATTCAGTGGTGAGCAAGTAATGTGTGATTTTTGATCTTATGGAGCTTACTTTACAGCTCCCACAGAGTTTATGTTTAGTAGCAGGAGAAAAGAGGGACACAATTAATTAGAAAACAATACAACTCCCTATGCTAATAAACTGCCACAAGTCTGTTACAGACTTTAAGGACTCTAGGAGGAGGTCAGAGGAGAGGGGACACCTGGGAAAACGTGGGCTTTGGTTTAGTCTCGGGCAAAGGAAATGTCATCAACAAGAGCTTACTGTTAGGTCAGACAGGGAGGGGCTGAGTGCTAAGAGGTTTCAGGGAGAGATAGGAAACAAAGCTGAATAAATAGGGTAGGGCCAGAAAATAAGATATAGCAGTTTATTTTCAACTAACGTGTGAGAAAATAGTGAATATAGTAAATATGTCTGTCTGTCTATGTGTGTGTGTGTGTGTGTGTGTGTGTGTGAGTGTGTGTGTATGTGTGAGAGAGAGAGAGAGAGAGAGAGAGAGAGAGAGAGAGAGAGGAATATGAGAGACAGGGAACAAGCAAGCAAAGTAATACATTCTACCGTAGTTTTTTCTTTCCTAAAAACCCCCTCACTGACTCCCTCTTGGCATAGAGTACAGTCTGAACTCCTTAGCACTGCATACCATGTTCTTCACAAGCAAGCCCCACCTGTGTCCTTAGCCTAGTTTTAAACACTCACCCCATGCCTCCTCATTCTGGACACACTCAGCCTCTTGCTCTTCCTTGAGCTTCTTCCTTTCGCACCTTGGTCCCTCTGCACAGACATGTTCACTCTGCTCTGTCGTCCCTTCCCTCCTTTCTTGACTTGTTGAAACTCTATCCATCCTTGCTGCTGAGAAGCTTCCCCCAGACCAGCCCAGACCAAGATGGTTAACTTTGCCTTCCTTTTCTCTCACAGCACTTGGTACACATCTCAATTTTAGGACTTGTCACACTTATTGGCATTGTTCTTTACTTACGTCTGACTCCTACTAGACTATGAGTACTTACAGGGCAAGAACCTTATCCTAGTTTTTTTCATATCCCTAGCCATCCAACACAAAGCCTAGCACATGCCAGGGTGAAGATGCTGCAAAAGGCCTCAATCCCACTGAAAACTGGAAGGAGTGGGACAGAGGGGTTGCAGAGAGAGGTTAAAGAAGAAAGTGAAGGGGGAGAATATGGAAATCACAGGGAGATCAAAGTAAGGGGATATGTCCAAGGATTAATAATATAAAGAGCTCACCCAAAACAAGTGAGGTTAATTATAACAACCCTAACATTTCTGCAGCACGTACTCAGTGTGTAAAACACAATGTTAGACACTGTGAGGATATAAAGTGAAATAAAACACCTCTTCCTATGGTTGGGTGGGGAAGATAAGACCAAGGTAGATAAGGAGACTGATAGCATCCAGGCATACTCAATTTCTTGTTTCTTAAAGTTCAGTACCGTTTTCAACTTTAAGACTTAATATGAAGCCCCTCAGCAGTCAATAAGGTATTGTTTTAAGAAATATTAGATATGGAAACTGACTTCCCTAGTTGAGATCTCAGCAAAGCTCAATAAGGCTAGACTAGAAACAACTTTCTTAGAAAATGGACATAGAATTGTGAATTTTAATACCATTTAAAAATATTTCTCATGTCTATGTGTCCCAAACTATATTATGAGCTTTTTTGAAGAAGGAAAGAGGATTCTTGCCCTCTAAGCACTCATAGTCTAGTTGGAGTCAGAGATAAGTAAAGGGAGGGAAAGGATTCACAAAGCATCTGAAAGGAGTGGATGGGAAAAAAAATGAATAAAAATAGACAAAAGAGGATTTCAGAAAAAGGAGGATGGGAATGCACAAGAGACAATAGGAATAAAGAGACAGTCTATTAAGGAAATGGATTTTTAAAACTGTACATATGAATTAACTGTTTAAATAGTGAAGTATCTGATGGCTATAATACAAAATATGAGATATTAAAAAAATAAGCAGGATGTGCCTTTAAATTCTATGATAGGCACTTAGCCAAAGGTAATTGAAGGGATGCTAGAAGAGGGATTAGCAAATGAAAATGATAAAGCTATTATGTGAATAAGAGATAAAATGTATTCTGAGTGACACAGTTTATTTTAATTAATTAATTTATTTTTTAGTGGTTCCGAAGAGAGAGTAGGAACATCCCAAGACATTATCTAGGTGCTCAATTTAATTTTTTCTGTTGTATGATAGTATGACACTGGGATGGCTTAGACATTTAATTTTTTATTTAATTTCAGCAATCAATCCGGAGTAACTACTATGTGGTTACCCCCAGAGACCAATTATGCTCTCACTGAGCAATCAGCTTAACAGGGATTGGCCAAGCAGCAAATGAACTCATCAATTGGGCATTATGTCCTAGGGTACTGAAGAGAGTATAAAAGTGGGGTGTAGCGGCCCTGTCACACTAGCTCTTTAGTAGTTTCTGAACATCTAGATGGTAGGATGTAGAATAGGTAAGTAGAAATGCAAAGCAGATACTGCAGGAATTGACTACAGGTCTGACTTAATGGGAGTGAGTGTGTAAAGACAGTTATAGTGTTAAAGAGGTGAGGAAGGAGGGACGTTTTTACTGAGTTGGGATTGAGCTGGATATTCAATAGAAGCAGAAATTTTGAGTGAAGTTGAGGGTGGGCATGGACTAGGGAATAGGACTTGTTTATTGGGGGGATGATCATGCTGACTTGGTATGGAGCAGAAAACTCAAGTTGGAAAAGCAGTAGGAAATCAGTTGGGATTGTATTGGGGTAAGGAGACGGGCAGGTATGGGGGAGGCTGGAGGTGGCACAGAGGAGGTCTTGTTCATGTCATTTCCCTTGCCTGACGTCTGGCAATGAAAAACATTTACACCTAATCTTGAGGGTTGCAGGAAGTTGATTGGGAAGGGAGACTACTCAATGTTCAATGTAAAACAAGCAGTAACAACACTTAAAGTATTTTCATTTTTTCCCAACATTGTTGGTATCATATTGTGTTTCTGTGCTCAGAAAGAGGGAGAAATTAAGAGGTTGAACCAAAAAAAGTACTGAACTCTCTACCTCATCACTCTGGAGCAGATAGGGTTACTTCCTAAGTGACTGGGCTATTGGAGTGAAGGCAAAAGTCAAACTCAACCCAAAAACCCAAGTGCAAGGCAGAACTGTGGCAATCATTGAGGTTCTTAAGCTTCAGGGGCTCCGAGGAGCCAATGTTTGTGGTGAAACGTCTGTGAAACAGCAGTCTTTACTTGGATTACTCTGGGTCGAGACATACTTTAAAGAATACATTTATCTAATGGCCTAGGGAAACACTTCTTAAATTGCCTTAAATGGGATTAGATGCCCCTTTGGTCTGGGTTTGTACACAGACCCAGGCCTAAGTTTGAACTAAGTTTAGTTTCTGGGTTTGGTGGCATGGTGGGGGTGGGGAGGTGGAAGTGAGTGTACCAGAGTAGGAGGCAATGGTGCAAGGTGTTGTGGCCATAGAAATATGAATCT